CTTAATATGGTCGAAGGTCTATTCCCTATCTTAAGGGGTGTTGGGCTCTTTGGATAGATGCCCTCTCCTGGAAGCCTTGGCTGTCCCAGCTTCCCGAACCCTACATCCGAAGCCCTGAACCCTAAACCCTAAACCCGAAACCCTGAACCCTGAACCCTGAACCCTGAACCCTAAACCCTAAATCCTGAACCCTGAACCCTGAACCCTAAACCCTAAATCCTGAACCCTAAACCCTAAACCCTGGCATAGGTGCCTACAGCCGGGAGGCCAGCGAGGGCGAGAATCCTCTGCAGGGCCTTTCTGAGGAGGAGGCCGTGTCAGACTTGGTGATGGTACATACTATTTCAGTTCTGTCAAAAACAAATCAATATATTGCATATTTTGCTCAAAAGAAAATGTATTCTATGGTAGAAGGGCCAGTGCAAGGTGTGTAGCGCTGCATTTCCGGGCCTCGCAGTTGAGCGTGGCAGGTCTCCACCCGCCGAAGTAACCTCGTCGCTTTGCACCTGAACTTGTCCCTGTGCGGCAACAAGGCCCGTGCCACAGTCGGAAATGACTGGGGCTGTCGCTGAAGTTCCGATCCCTCTTGCGTGTCAAGGCCGGACTTCACGCACTGGCCAGACGACATGTGGCCACCCCAGGAATCGAGAGCTCTCTCGCATGTTCCCTCGGAGGGCAGCGCTTTCTCGAAAGGCGGGGCGTTGATGCAAGGCTCTGGTTTGTTCGACCGAGTGCAGGACTTGGCAGGGGTGAGGTTTCACGGTTATGCGGTTGCAGGCGGTTACAGGCGGTGTCACGGGGTATCGCGCGGCAGCACGCGGAGTATTATGTGTTATTCACTGGAGCCTAGGCGGACATCGCACTGGGCGCCCGACCCAGCTTGCAGGGCTTGGACATTTAGACTTAGACAAGAGAACATCTGGCTGTGGTAGAAGATTGAGTGAGTCGCATTGACAGCTGGAATCCTGTGGAAGAGTAAAGCATGTCGGGTCACACAAGTGAATGTTCCGAAGCACTGGGCTCGCCTACGGCCACAACACCCACATGGGGCTCATAGAAATCAGGTTGTCCGAGCAGCCTCCCCCCAAGCACGACCAGGGCATCCCAAAATCAGCTGCCACACGAAGTTCGGTGGACGCCCTTTCATCCATTCGTTAGGACCTTGTTTCAGACTGTATAGACCATGGCGTTCGACTTCGATGACATGGAGGCGGGCCATCAGTGCCAGGGTACCAAAACTAAGCTTCAGTACCCTCTTCAGTCCACAAATCCAGAAGCCTGTTCCCCTGTTGCATGAAGCCAAACAGCATCTTGGCACCGGCAAACGCGAAGCGCCAAACCCAGCTTGACACAGGCGGAGGCCCAGGCACGCCTTGCGGAAGGCAATGATGCAGCGGCACGCCAGGAGTTGGGTTCGCTCCAAATCGATCATGGAAAAGGGATAGGGCGGGGCTCATGTTTTAGGGCCCATGGTCCTTGCCGGTCTGATCTGAACCCTAAACCCAAACCCTAAACCCTAAACCCTACACCCCGATCTCATGCTCGTGTCTGAGCTGCCTCCCAAGTCCCTGGCGAGGCACTTGGGGCCGCGGAGACCCCGAACGAGTGGCGAGGAGGGCATCTTGGCCCGCACATGTGTAACAATATAATCACATTATTGCGCAATATGAGTCTGAAAAGCCATGGAAACAAAGTAAGGTAATGGGAATATGGGACAACAGCAAAATTGGGAGTCGGCTGCCAGGTCCCAGAGTGTGCTTGACTTACGGGAAAGAAGGCCTTGGAGGGTTTGTGGTATTTTTCAGGCTCCATGCGCAGGTCTTGCGAATCCCTCGTCTCCGCCAAGAGCTGCCTTCGCGTTCGCTTCTGTGTGTTTTTTCAGTGACTGTGGGCATGCTGCTCTCCCTTCTTCTGTGGTCAATTGCAACTACATGACAACAATCCAGAACCCTTCGGTAGCCTTGGTGTTGCCCTAAACCCTGAACACTAAACCCTAAGCCCTGAGCCAGCTGCTGTAACAAAAAAAGGACGCTGCCGCCGATGCGAAACTTTCTGGATCCGAAGAAGCGGTTTCTGCCGTCGCGACAAGACCTTCGAAAGTATCTTGAGACCCTTGGCTGCGTTATCTCTTATTATGTTGTCATGTTCTTATTAAGATCGCGTATTTCAGGGTAGATGTAGGGCTTGGAGGGACTTGGGCAGACTTAGGCACTTCACATGGGTGTAGCCTTTCACAGGACCCTGTCGTACAATGTCACACATGAGCCTGAGTCAAAGGCCACTGAAACTGGACGTCGTGGAGACCTTCAACACGCGTATACGTCTCTTCATTTTCCCCGGTGCTGGGGACAGTGTGGCCAGCTGGGTTCAGTTTGTGAACCAGGCCAGGCAACTTTGCATTCATTCGGCATTGAGTGGGATAATCGTGTGCCTGACGCTGCTTCGCTCGTGCTTTTGCTAGCGTCCACGGGCGTCTCCCTACTGCAGTGCACCGAGCCATGCGCTGAGCACGCGGATCCATACCGTAACGCACCGTACTGTACCGTAACATACAGTAATGTGACGGAATGTCGTGTCGAGATGTGCGGAGAGAGAGAGTGTAGGTTATGTACCCTAAACCTTAAACCCTAAACCCTAAACCCTAAACCCTAAACCCTGAACCCTGAACCCTGAACCCTAAACCCTAAACCCTAAACCCTAAACCTGAACCCGAAACCCTAAACCCTAAACCCTAAACCCTAAACCCTAAACCCTAAAAGGTGCCCACCTGGATTGATGTTGCCATCTACGAGCGCCCGGGGCACGGCCAGCGCTCCCTCGAACCCTTCGCCGAGAGGCTCGTGGAGGATGCCGAGGACGGCGAGACCCCTAAACCCTAAACCCTAAACCCTAAACCCTAAACCCTAAACCCTAAACCCTAAACCCTAAACCCTAAACCCTAAACCCTAAACCCTAAACCCTAGGTCCTCAAGACATCTCAAGACCTGAGCGCCATGCATATCCTTGGATGCAAAAAGTCTCAACCGTGCAGGAGGCCTTTCGAGCACTGGAGACAGTACTGGGACCCCATGCCAAGGCAACGAAGAGAGCAAAGAGCGGGTTTAGGGTTTAGGGTTTAGGGTTTAGGGTTTAGGGTTTAGGGTTTAGGGTTTAGGGAGCAGAAATTCGGCTTGATCGGCCGTTGGCTGCGACTTTCTGGCTGGTTCTTAGTAGGGAATGAGGGAATGAGGCACCGTTTATAATCCCTTGAAGGGTATAACATAGGGCCTTCATTCCCTCATTCCCTACTAAGAACCAGACAGTTTTTCGTAGTGGCTTCCCCTAAACCCTAAACCCTAAACCCTAAACCCTAAACCCTAAACCCTAAACCCTAAAACCCCAAACCCCAAACGCGTGTTCGCAGGGTGGAAGCTTTGAGGGAGCGCCGTTTGCCCTCGCAGCCCACTCCATGGGCTGCCAGATGATGATGGAGGCGCGACGCACCCTTGCACTCGCTCTCGCTCTCCTCGTTGCTAGAGAATCATTTTGCCCGAAACCCTAAACCCTGAACCCTAAACCCTAAACCCTGAACCCTAAACCCTAAACCTTCAACATTCGTCCCTCATTCGCCCTTTCCGGAAGCCCTTGATCGGGAACAGTCATCAGGTGGCGCTGCGCTTGCGTCAGCAGATGGGCCTCTCACCCGTGGCGATGTTCCCCATTGACCGCGGAGCCCCACACCTGCCCATCTACACTGAGGACCTTTGAGGTGTCTTCAAATTCTTCAGAGGGTCATAGCATAAGAATCATATACCAATATACTTACTATACATATATAATATAAAGAAGACATATTGTATTGCAATTTTTTTTCATTTTAAGATAAAATTGTGGCTGAGAGGAGGGCTATCGGCTCCTCTGTATGGACGAGCCTCTTGAGTTCTTCGAGGGGTTCAACCCCACTGTGCACCTTGGCATGCCTTCGCTCGGAGCAGGATATAAGTAGTTAAGGGGTGTAGGGTTCATAGGGTTTAGGGTTTAGGGTTTGGGGTTTAGGGTTGAGGGCTCAGGGTTCAGGGTTTCGGGTTTAGGGTTTAGGGTTGAGGGTTGAGGGCTTAGGGTTTAGGTGCATCTTGGACTCGGAGCAGGAAGACTTGCTTTGGGAGCACGGTGAAGCATGCCCAGATGAACTGTTAAACTCGTCCAGGAAGCAGGACGGGACTACTGGGATGATTGTATTATTGCTTTTTTGTTGCTGTTTCTACTCTCGTTTTGAGTATTCGCATGGTCAATGTTACGTTTTTTCTTGTTATTACTCTTGTTCTTATTAATTATTGTTATTGTTACTATTCTTAGTATTTGTGTTTTTTGTTGTTAGCTCTTACTATTGCTATTATCATCACTTTGAAGCTGGCACAACTCATCTCAGGCACAGGCTCATGCTGAAGCCCAACCGGCACGAGTCGAAAGACACGCAGCGGATGATTGACATGTGGAAGCGGGACCTGAGACTCTGCCAGGAACATCTCTGGCCCGAAGGCCGGGTTTAGGGTTTAGGGTTTAGGGTTTAGGGTTTAGGGTTTGAGGGCCTGGAAGTGGAAGTGGGGGAGGGGGGTCCGGGAGGGAGCTTGAGTCAGGCCATTTCATCTTCCACTGTGATCTGTGCCTCAGCTGCGCAAGTAGGGGGTCCGCAGCCATGGCATGACTTCTTTGCCTCCTTAGGGATCGATGTCCCATGCCCATGAGTATGAGGCCAAGCTCTGTTGCACACGAAGCTGCTTGCAAGGCACGTCATCAAGGCCATGCGGAACTTCTTACTGGACAGCAAGAAAGTGTTGCCAGAGGAGTCCTGCCTAGAGCATATATATATATACTAGCAACTGAATATACATATAGACATATACATACACATTTATATAGAATGAGTCTTACACGCACACTGCGTATGTACATATATATATATATATGTGTCTATATATGTATATATATATATGTGAATGAGTACAACATATGTATATATATATATATGCAACATAGTATACTTAAAACTGATAACATAGGAATACATAGGAATACAAGTATAGACATTTACGTGTTGTAGCTTCACTGACCTGGAGAGGAGGCGGAGCGCGTCCGGGAGATCAACTGGCGAATTACAAATTCTGGGCCAACAAGTGCAGCACCCTGGTCACACGAGAGCTTCGATGCCTGGGCGCAGTGGACCACTTCGACGTGTACGGTCCACAGCGTCGATGCCGAGCACATTGGGGCCGACGCCTGAGTTTCTGGATGCCCCTCGCATGCCCTCGCTACCCTGCGCTTTTCGCAGGACCGAGTCGCAAGTGAGCTACCCAGGTGAAGCTGCACCCCGACACGATCCGAATTCTGACGGAGGTGCTGGATTCAAAGACCGCGCTGTGAAAGCCTTGATGGGATGCCTCGGCTTCTTGCAGTTGCGCAATCCAGCGCTCGATGGCGCTCTATGGCGCCCTTCAGCGGCGTCGCCGGGGTCGATGGCCTGGGCAAAGCCACACGGTGCCGTCGCTCCGGCCCTCACCGCTCGGGGGTGCGCAGGAAGGAAAAAAGCCGACATGGGCAAGCCCTGCCCTCTGACTTTAGGCGGGGTTTAGGGTTTAGGGTTTAGGGTTTAGGGTTAAGGGTTAAGGGTTAAGGGTTCAGGGTCTTAGGACTACAACGGTTGCTAGTTACTTTGTCAGCCAGGCGTATTCGTCAGGAACTTCGATTGTGCACACCTACCTTCGATTGTGCACGCCTACCATCATGGGTATCGGGAAAGGGATTCGGCGATGGAGGTGGGTTCTTTGTTCCAAAGGGGGCGGAATGCCAGCTCCTCAACCCGGAATGCATGTTCTCAATACACGTATACATATATAGCAACACTTCTGTATGTATATATGTATGTATACATATGCATGTTGTATTCATTAGATATATATACACACATATTTGCTCTGTATGTTTTGGTATGAACAATGGCATCACACTTTACGCGACCCTGTTTTTGCCTGAGGTGCTGAGCCCCAGAACCCCAAAGCCCGGCGCACAGACCGAGATGCCAGCTGCGGTGCGTAGTACATGAGAGGTTTCGGGTTTAGGGTTTAGGGTTTAGGGTGTAGGGTTTAGGGTTTAGGGTGTAGGGTTTAGGGTTCAGCAGGGCGAGTTTCAGGGAAGAAGAGCCAACCAACCTTGGGCCCAGCGCTCCCAAGGCCCTCTTCCGCCGTTCTCAAGCTGCCGCAGGCCTGGCTTCGGGGTTTAGGGTTTAGGGTTTAGGGTTTAGGGTTTCGGGTTTAGGGTTCAGGGTTTAGGGTTTAGGGTTCAGGGTTTAGGGTTTAGGGCCACTTTGAGGGCTAACGCGGCTATGGGGGAGTTTACCAAAATAAGGGACTCCGAATATAGACCCCCAAAAAGTAGGACTCCCTGGTAAAAAGGACCCCAGTAAGGTACCCCTAATTTCGGAAACCCACATGTGGCACAAGTTTTGGTAGAGTGATGGTCGTCTGGGAGTGAAGTTGAGGTCTTGATCGGAGGGAGGGCTACAGTGATCAAGCAGGGTGAACAGGCCCCTTCTTAACCCTAAACCCTAAACCCTAAACCCTAAACCCTAAACCCTAAACCCTAAACCCTAACCCCTAAACCCTAAACCCTAAACCCTAAACCCTAAACCCTAAACCCTAAACCAGACCCTAAACCCGAAGCCCTAAACCCTAACCCTAAACTATGGAGAGAGTTCGACTTCGGAAGATCAAAACAGCTGATCGAATATCCAGTTGTGCTTTGACAGCCGCTGTCCCAGGGCAGAGCGACTTCGAGGCCATGCCGCGGTCCTTAAGGATGGTTTAGGGTTCAGGGTTCAGGGTTTAGGGTTTAGGTTTTAGGGTTTAGGGTTTAGGAGTCCTTCGAGATATTTGAGTCAAATTGGCAGGATTGAGAGAGTCTGAGAGTCTGCGGCAGAGTTTGACAGGATTGTCAGGATTGAGAGTCTGAGGCAGAGTTTGAGTGAGGGGTCACGGGGTCCCGCCGGCTCACGAGTGTGCAGAACATCTGCACTCCAACACTCAACGCTCCTCCGCTGATGCAGGCAGCGTTGCAAGACCTGCAGAAGGCCGCTGAACTCCAGCCGCAGGAACCCATGGTGTCGTGGTTCATGTCGGCCGTCGTTGGGTGCGGCAAGTTTGTGCGACGTCTACCACAGAAAGCACTCACGACTCTTCTTGGCAGTCTCTGCCCAGTAGTAGATGTGGCATGCTCATCACGGCCGGCGGCTTAGGTGTCATGGCAGGCAAAGTCGCTCAGTCTTGAGGGATCGGGGCATCGAATTTTGCCACAGGGTTGCATGATGTTGCATGTGCTTGAGTACTGGTTTTTTCGGGCAGGACAGAACCATCCGCAGCGAGATCCAGTCTGTCCAGCGCAGCCTCAGAGCCCACAAGGAGGTGTTTGGTTTTGACGTGTTTTGACAGTGCCGCACAGCGAGTATGTTGCCAGGGCCCTCGCCATGTGCTTTTCGTTCCGCGCAGGTGCAAAAGACCATGTTTCAGAACGTGTTCTTGCCTCCCAGCAGAAGGTCACAAGGTGCAAGTGAAGAAGGACCGAGCATCTCCCTTGCCCCAAGCAGCACATGCTCGCATCCTGCCGTTCTGCAGGAGCGAACTAGCCGACTCGAACTTCCAATCGGAGCGTGTGTCCGTGGCCAACCCTAAACCCTAAACCCTAAACCCTAAACCCGAAACCCTAAACCCTAAACCCTAAACCCTAAACCCTAAACCCGAAACCCTAAACCCTAAACCCTTGTGATGCAGCCTCCCTGACCTCGTGGGCCCGTGATGGCCTGTGCATACGCGCACGATGCACTTCAAAGAGCTGCCAGCCGCCGTCCGCTCAGCGGACGTTGTTTCCAGATTCGTGGCACACAAGTGCGTCTAAAGCCTTCTCAGCAGTCGCCGCGTAATGTCCACTGACCTCGCGCCCCTTCCGACCCGATGGAAAAACGGAGCCTCTTTGCTGAATTTCCGGCGCTGTTCAGTCGCATACGTGCCCCGCCCCTCGCAGGCGTATGATTCGGGTCGCCGCGCGAAGAAGACCCTGGAGTCACAGTCGCCCGCAGCCAAGTGGACGCCACGCGAATTTCTGGAGTTGCGCTCGGTGTTGTGTTGCGGTTGGTAGCTTGCAAAAGGGACGGTAGCCAATATCCAGAGAGATGTCTTGAAAGACATCGGCACATGCCATTGGGTGCCCTAAATAAGAGGGGCCGCCTTATAAAAAGGACCCCAAAAGGGACCATGATTTAGAGAGACCACCACATGTTCTGAGATCATGGGGAGTGCGGCGAAAACGGTTCAGTGGCGGTCAACTGCTGAGGTCTGTGGAGCTCACCCTTGAGGACTTCGAGATGCAGGTGCTCAGGCCTTGACCTCAGGGGCTTCCAGTCCTGTTCATTTTGCCTTTTGGTAGGGTTTAGGGTTCAGGGTTCAGGGTTCAGGGTTTAGGGTTTAGGGTTTAGGGTTTAGGAGGATCGACTAAGACAAGCAATAAACGCGTTGCTTGTTGTTGTTAAAGCTTTGGATGAGCAATGAACTCTGGTGATGGTCCGCAGGAACGCTGCAATCATGATCTGTGTCCCACATTCTACTCTGGCATGAGAACCACGTTGGTGATACTGTTGATGGACGAAATCCTGCATCACTTTTATTATGCAGGTCATCCCTTCCAAACCCTGAATCTTAACATTGCTGTCCTTGCAATGCTTCGAAGTTGCATGTGTGTGAATGACCGAAATCCTGCATCACCCATATGCGCACGCAACATTGAAATTCGAGGGGCGCGGGGAGCTCGATTACCAACCGTCGCACACGTGTAACGTAGGGGGTCATGCAAGATTTTGTCCATCAACAGTCTCGGACAAGATAGTTTACTGACTTGTTGGCAAGAGTTGTTGCTGGAATGGCTTTTGGGAAGAATGTCGGAGATGTACCTTTGGCAGATTCAAGCCTAAGCTCTCCTCTTGCTCGGGTGTGGCCAAGCGCCAAAGAGCAGAAATGCCGCGTTTTTCAAGTTTCAAATTCGTTTCCGTAGTTTCATTTAGTTTCAAAAATAGTTTCAACATCCAGTTGCAAAATCGCTGTTAAGGGGAAACTGCATTTTTCTATGCGCAATTCAAAAAAAATCAAGGAATCTCAGAGGTTCCTGGTTTTCAAAAAGCGCGGACAGAAATTGTAGTTCCCCCTTAACAGCGATTTTGCAACTGGATTTTGAAACTAATTTGAAACTGATTGGAAACTAATTTGAAACTATGGAAACAATTTGAAACTTGAAAAATACCATACTTCGGACTTTCTGCCCCCATCCTGGCCCCTCACACACGGCCCTCAGTTGACTGTGGTCAGCCGTGACTATAGAGACCAGAGTTTCCGAAAACTTGCCAGTCTCCAGACTGTTGATGGACGAAATCCTGCATCACTTTTATTATGCAGGTCATCCCTTCCAAACCCTGAATCTTAACATTGCTGTCCTTGCAATGCTTCGAAGTTGCATGAGTGTGAATGACCGAAATCCTGCATCACCCATATGCGCACGCAACATTGAAATTCGAGGGGCGCGGGGAGCTCGATTACCAACCGTCGCACACGTGTAACGTAGGGGGTCATGCAAGATCAACAGTAGGTCACGAGAGTTCCAGCTTCCAGATGGTGGAACGGATACTTTAGTCGCATTCGCCTGGTTTCGCTTCGTGAGCACGGATATTGCCACCTGTGTCATGCGCTCAACTCAATCTCAACTCATGGTGTGGAGGCGGTGACACATCTGAATGGTTTCGGGAGTTTAAGTTAGGCAGTCACAGTCGTAGTGGTCGTCGTCGTAGTAATCGTCGTCACCGCTGCCAGTGATCGTAGCAGCAGAAATCGTCGTGGGAGTTAGATTAGGAGAGCCAAAGCCCGAAGTCCCCAAACTCTCCCACCCCTCCCTGAGGTGCTGGAAAATGACGCCACCCTGTGGTGACAAAGCCAGAAGTCCCCCTGAGGCCCCTAAAACCAGACCCGAAGCCCCAAACCCTAAACCCTAAACCCTAAACCCTAAACCCTAAACCCTAAACCCTAAACCCTAAACCTTAAACCCTAAACCCTAAACCCTAAACCCCGAAACCCTAAACCCCATAGAACCCCTTGGGAGGTCAAACGAAGTTTGGTTCGTCCAAGCTTATGACCCCAATGATGGCACCTGCAAGTCCTTCGCCACCGGCTGGGAGGACAGCACTTCAGGGTTCAGAGGGAGTTAGGGTTTAGGGTTTAGGGGTTTGGGGTTTAGGGTTTGGCGTTTATAGGGTTTAGGGTTCAGGGTTTTAGGGTTTAGGGTTTAGGGTTTAGGGTTTAGGGTTTAGGATCTAGGGTGTAATGGTTTAGGGTTTCGGGTTTATAGGGTTTAGGGCCTGAGGGGGGTTTAGGGTTTGGGGTTTGGGACTTTCTGGAGGGCTTCCGAAAGTTTAGAGTTTGGGGTACCGTCTTTAGCGGATTCCTAGAGTAAGGATGATAGCATTTGCGGGTATGTTAGGGGTAGTCCTGTTTTGGGAAATGCCCATGTGAACTGCAGGACGGTTTGGGATTCTGGTTTTTTGGGGGTCAGAGCTTTGCCAGGTTAGAGCCACCAGTGTTGAGGTCTTCAGGGTTTAGGGTTATGAGCATGCGCGAGTTCTCAGCACTTCAGACTCCAGGTGTGCCCCCCCCCCCCGCCCCATGTCCATTGCGGTCGTTGCACTGTAGGGGCCAGAATGTGCCGTCTTTTTGCGGTGTTTTCAAGGATGTAGCTCACTCCTACGGAGACCACGCGCGTTTCGGCCGCCTGGACGTTACCAAGAAGGAGCTGAAGGCATGCGCGAAATTGGTGGTGTTGAGATGTGTCTGACAGATGGTTTAGGGTTTAGGGTTTAGGGTTTAGGCTTTTCGATAAGCCGCTGGAGGGAGTTGTTACACCGAGTCCTGAAACCGGCCCAGCAAGCTCAAAGCATGAACTTCGCATGTGCCCAGCCAGTGGGTAGCTACTGAGAACCCACACCGAAGAGTTGCCACAGCGCCCACAAGAGCAGTGCAGCCTCACAGCCCAACCCTGTGACATTCCCCGCAACTCCCACCCGAGCCATCATGGTCGAAGCCACCATCATGGCTCCTGTCGCCTTGGGGCGCGGCCGTGATGCCTTCCGCGTGGCGGAGCTTCTGGAGGTTGGAACGCTTTTGAGCAGGGTCTCGGGTTTGCCCCCTCTCTCTGTGTCTCCCCATCTCTGCTGTGCCTGCTCGGGTTCCGTGGGTCCGAAAACTTTCAGAAGTATCCCCAAGCTGCTTCAGCTGTGCCGAGGACATGCCAGCGTGTGCAGCGCCGCCCGAAGTTGAGGCAGAATGCCCGTTAACCGGAGAGAAACAGCTCGGAGAGCTGTTAGGTGGTTCGGGCTTGCCTAGCGCTGCTTCCAGGCAATCTTGCTGTCGATGGGGTACCCCGAGATCCGATCCTGCACCAAGCACAAGGCCCTGTGTGGTCACGGGGAATCCATCTGGGTACTAACCGTCGTCATCTATGGGTTGAAAGTTGAAAACCTACGGCTGTCACGAAGCAATTAAGTTTGTCAGTGGTCATTTGCAGAAGCGCGACTAGCCCAACGGCGAAATGCTAGAGGTAGTAGCTTGTTCATTGTTCTCCTGCTGAGGGGTGGTTGCGTCGCGGTTGAGAAGCTTTTTTGATTCACAAGGTCTTGCACCTGCCAGGTGAGTTTCCATGCGACATACTTCTTGGACTTTGCTGGCCCGCTTCCTTCGGGCGCAGAGGTGGATACCCGTTGTGGCTTTTCGCAGCACCGACTGTAGCTCCTTCCTCCCGTGACTGTAGCAGATTGTAATCAGCTGAAGACATTGGGTGGGCGCAGCTGGCAGGGACGCGCTGTTCTTCAGCTGATCGGTTCGGAGCTGGGCGACAAAGGGTGCCCGGCTCAGAAACTGTCCGACGACATGGGGCAAGGCATCGGCAATTCTCAACGCTTCGCGCACTTGCCGCGACACCCCAACAAAGGGTTTAGGGCTTAGGGTTTAGGGTTTAGGGTTTAGGGTTTAGGGTTTAGGGTTTAGGGCTTAGAGGTGCAAGTTTCAGGAGAATGAAGCTTACCTGGCAATTCGAGGTCCATTTAGAGATTTTCCCTGACAATGAAGGAAATGAAGGCCTTCGAGTTAGAGCCAAACCTCTGGAGCCGGAGGAGCCAAGTGGAATCTGGAATCTTGAGATGCTGCGAAGCAGGGCTTCCAGCTGGGGTTCGTACCCAAAGCTGCAATAAAACTTCGCAGCCGAAGGAGAGGGTGAGGATTCTCAGCAGCAGCAAATGCAAGGCAGACGTGGCAGAAAGCCGGTCTTGCGGAGACCCTCCCAGCTTTAAGGGAAAAATGAGTCGCTGGATTAGCTCCCGGGCACGCCGGACTCGAGCGGCTCTGCTGACTGGTTCTTAGTAGGGAATGAGGGAAGTAGGGCCCTAGATATTCCCTTAAAGGGTATAGATTTTGGGCCCTCCTTCCCTCATTCCCGACTTGGAACCAGGGGCTAAACCCTAAACCCTAAGCCCTAAACCCTAAACCCTAAACCCTAGGCTCTTCCACTTGCAAAAGCCCATCAGCGCGGAGTCCATATCGCGCGCGACCGCCTTGGCCCAGGCGTCGCTGAGCAATCGCATTTAGGGTTTAGGGTTTAGGGTTTAGGGTTTAGGGTTTAGGGTTTCAACCCCAGACAAAGAGAAAGACAGGGCCAAGAAGTGCAATATGGTCACTTCTCTACATTATGGTCCCTTGTTTAGGGGGGACCATGGTTTAGAGAACTGACCATACGCAGCCGTCAACTTTGTCTCTGCTTCTTGCGGTAGGAAGCCGGCATTCGTGCGCCGCATGTCCTGGCCAGTGGAAAGGTCCCTTGGGAATGCGTTGTCGGGTGCAGGCTTTGACTCTTCGATTTGCTTGGCGGGCCTACATGCAAAGTACCTTGACATTTGGGCTTTCCGAAACGGGTAGGGGGTGTTGCCCCTTATCTGCCCTCAAAAGACGATAAGTCCCCATGATAGGAATGCCCCAAAAGGGCACCATTTTGGGAAGCCCCCGCCATGTCCGCATGACGTGTTAGGTGGAGTCCTGGGGACCGCTGTCCGACGTGCCTTTCCTCGTGTACGAGTTTGTGAACACAGCGACGGTGGAGGATGGAGCTTTTGCTTCCAGGATGTGTTCGCCTAAAGTCTGGAGGTGTGGCCGGAAGACAGTGAAAGAACTCTGAAGCGCTAAGCGCATGGGCCTAGCATCCTACTCCACCCCACAAGCCTGGCAGAGCTTTTGTTCAAGGCCTGTTGTCTTCCAACCCTCTCGTAAGCTTCCTCAAGAGGCTACGGCCGTGGCTGAGTGATGAGCCAACCTAAACCCTAAAGCCCTAAAGCCCTAAAGCCCTAAAGCCTAAAGCCTAAACCCTAAACCCTAAACCCTAAACCCTAAACCCTAAACCCTAAACCATGAGTCTGGCGTAGGACCATCGAGTTGCCCCGAGGGAGGCGGGATTGCTGCTGCAGCAGACGCTCTGCTTTGAGGTTCATGATGGTTCAGGGGTGATTTTAAACCGATTATACAGGGTGGGGCCCCCTTACTATACTAACTGTAGTTAAGGGACTTATAACCTAACTTAGGGTCCTTATAACCCAATTTAGGGCCCTTATAACTCTACTTATAACTAGGGGGCCCCACCCTGTACGTTTACTTATAACCTGCTCAGTGAACTTAGGGGGCGTAGAAGTGCAGTTCTAATTGGGGTTAAGAGTACCCTGAACTTTGATGTGGGGATGTTTGGGGGATCCTGTGGCATGAGGGGCATCCTGGGGAAAAGAGCTTCGGATAGCTTCACCCTCCCCGAGCTTTTCTGTAGCGGCCTTTGCCCTCGCCGAACGCGGGGGACGCTGTGCAGGATTTGCGGGTGGCCATACTCGATGGGATCTCAGCCATTCTTCAGTTGCTGCTACAGTTGCTGCAGCAGTTGCTGCAGCAGATGCTGCTGTTTAGGGTTTAGGGTTTAGGGTTTAGGGTTTAGGGTTTAGGGTTTAGGGTTTAGGGTTTAGGGTTTAGGGTTTAGGGTTTAGGGTTTAGGGTCACTGAGGACGTGCGGGAGAAGCTGGGATCGCTCAACCTGTCGGGCATCGACACGGAGCCTCTGCCCCGTTTCGAGGAGCTCTACAGCTTTGCATCTGCCCCCGCCCTGACTGGTTCTTAGTAGGGAATATGCTCCCTTAAAGGGTATATATATATATATATAAGGGTATGTAAAAAAAAATATATATATATATATGTAATATGTATATATAGGGCCCTAAATCCCTCCCTACTAAGAACCAGGGCGTTGAGCCACAGGATTGCTATGCTTTCACGGCCTACCTGCAGCAACTCGCCGAGCAAATGCAGGTGGAATGGCACTGCCTAGTGATACTTGTCAGGTTCATGGGTACTTACAAGTAGGGTTGTAAGTGCACTATACAAGGTTAGAACTATACTATAGCTACCCTACTTCTACCCCCGCCCTTTTTCAGGTTGTAGCTGTAGTTGCCCTCCTTCTGCTCCCATTTATAAGTTCCCGTACCCTAAACCCTAAACCCAAACCCTTAACCCTTAACCCTGAAACCCTAAACCTAAAACCCTAAACCCTATGAACCTCCAAGTACTGGATGCCATGAGGGACCCTCGGCTCTGCCAGGCACGGGAACTGGCTGAGGGCCTGGTAAAGATGGACCAGGCCCTGCGCGATGCAGGCGCGCCCAGCACATAAACCCTAAACCCTAAACCCGAAACCCCAAACCCAAAGCCCGAAACCCTAAAGCTGCCACAAGAGCTTTCCCATCTGCCCTTCAAGGCATCGAGCCAATACCGCCCACGCTCATCCACCAGGCCAAGCTCAGCTCTAGCAGCTGAGAGTGGTTGTCAACAATATATATATATATATATACATGTATATATATATATATCATATGTAAATAAGATAATTGCAGAAATACATAATAAATAAATAAATATATATAAATAAATATATATATATATACATATATATGTACATACACACATATATGTATATGTGTGTGTATGTGTGTATTAAGTATTCATTGTACATACATATGTATGTATGTATGTCTGTATATATATATATATATGTGCAGGTATGTATGTATGTATGCATGTATGTATGCATGTATGTATGTATGCATGCATGCATGCATGTATGTATGTATGTATGCATGTATTCAAGTATGCATGTATGTATGCATGCATGTTTGTATGTATGCATGCATGTATGTATGCATGTATGTGGGTTTAGGGTTTAGGTTTAGGGTTTAGGGTTTAGGGTTTAGGGTTTAGGGTTTAGGGTTTAGGGTTTAGGGTTTATGACTGGAGGCTTCCAAAAATGAGCAGATTGAATTTCCCTCCGCGGATTGCATTTCTGGATCCAAGATCCCAGATTGTCAGCGTGCCTCGCGGAGAGAATCTTGGATCCCACTGTGACTGTGGGATACAAGATTCCCTCGGCACGACCCCCTGACAATCTTGGGTCTTGGATCTTGGCTCCAGGGCCGGACTGAGATTCAATCCACGGATTGAACTTCAATCTTGGTTCACGCCTGTATGTCTGAACTTTTCCCATGCATCTTGAATAATGGATGTTGGATCCGGCTTGACTAAAGGAATGAATCAAACTGTATCAAATCACCCCCCCCCCCCCCCCGCTTGACAAAAACTGAACCCCCCCCCCCTCCCCCCGGCTTGATTCAAAAACTGAATCGAATGAATCAAGCTTGCCCCGCCCCCCATCCCCCACCCCCCCCCCCCCCGAACCAACTGCGATGAAATGCTTCCTTACGGTGGGTGGGCCTGAATGTTTAAGGAAGCTCTTTAGGAAAAGTATAAATCAAAGTATCTAATGGATAGGGAATGGGCTTACCCTTTGGGGCAGCTCTTATGGAGAATCCTTTATTTCTGTAGTGTTGAGAGAAGATCGATGTTGTAGAAAGTCTGGTTGCGGCCCCAGGGTTTTAGGGTTTAGGGTTTAGGGTTGAGAAGTTAGTAGCAAAAAATGATGTTCAGGAATATGGTTTAGGTTCGAGGAACAAAGGCTTAGGGCTGAGGATTTGTTGAGCCTAGACGGAAAGCGTTTCGAAATTGCTGCTTGAGGAACCTGCTTCAATGCTATCTTTCATGTTTAGCGAAGTCTCTTAGGTGGCTAGGGAAAGTGTAAGGTTTTGGGATAGGGTGTCGGAAAAACCTTCAACGAATGAGTTTTTCAGGAATATGGCTTAGGCCTAAACAGTAAGGACAATAATTGTTTCAAAATACTATTCGTCGAAAGTATGGGAAGAGGGTCTGGGCTTTTGCGAAATATCTTTAGGGAATAGGGTCTGCTCTTCAGCGAAGTGCCACTAGTGGCGAGGGAGAACGTGAGGTTTGACACTTGGTTTCATCTTTAACCTTCAACAAAGAGGGTTTACAGGAATGGGGCTTGGGCCTAAACATGAAGGGTACACCCCGCAGGCACCTGAAGCATGACTATTCCTAAACAAGATTCATTGAAAGTATGGGGGAATTGGGTCTGGGCTTTAGCTAACAGGATCTGGGCTCTTAGCGACATGCTTAAGTCGCGAGGGAACACATAAGGTTTTAGACAGGGTTTTCCCGTAAACCTTCAACAAAAAGAGCTTACATGAATAGGGCTTGGGCCCAAACGGTGCACCCCGCAGGCACCTGAAGCATGACTGTTCCTAAACAATGTTCGTTGAAAGTATGGGAATAGGGTATGTGCGTGAATGGCGAGGGAAAGTGGAAGATTTCTGGAACAGGGTGTCAGCCTAAACCATCAACGAATAATAATAGGATTTAGTGAAATTTCTCTAGTGGCGAGGGAAGATGTAAGGCATTAAGCGTACACCCCGCAGGCACCCGAAGCATTTCCATTCCTAAACATGACTCGTTTGCGAAGAGGGTCTGGGTTGTGGTGGGTCTTTCAAGCTTCATCAGTGTTTGGGCGACCTTCCACGCCGTTGGCAGCTTGGGTGCAGATAGTTCTCCTTTCCCTTTTGCCAGAGCGGTGTAATCGCTACGAAAAAATGTTTGATGGGGTTTCAGTTTCAGCCAAGGGGCCTGCTTGTCAGCGACTGGGACAACTTTGCGTACAGACGGTTTATCTTGGCATTTAGATTTGCCTTTTTGGAGATGTCAGTAATGCCTTCTTCGATAGTGGAATTTTAATTTTTTCCAGCAGAGGGGAACTCAAGTAAGACTAGTCTGTACCAGGGTAGTATGTATGCGATATTCTTAATATACTCTTGTATACCAAAGTAGATTACGGTGCGTTTGAAGGGGGGGTAGCATATATATATATATATATACATATACACACGCACAGACTTACAGATATGTGTGTATATAAACACACATATATATATATGTACATATGTATACTAGTTATGATAAGTATCATGTATTATAAGACAGCCTGACAGGATCTGAATGATGGGAACGTCCTCTGCTCCCCTGATAGCAGCGGGCGCTGGAAGTTCGATGCCCTCATCGACTGGGAAGGTGCTGTGGTAGGCCAGGCCTCCACATGGGGGTTTCCGAAAACACGGGTTTAGGGTTTAGGGTTTAGGGTTTAGGGTTTAGGGTTTAGGGTTTAGGGTGTAGGCACCCCCAAGATAGACCCCCAAATAGTAGGATTCCCTTGTAATATGGACCCAAATAAGGTACCCCCCCCCCCCCCTAATTTCGGAAACCACCAACTCCTGCTGTTTGGAGCCCTAAGCCCTAAGCCCTAAGCCCTAAACCCTAAACCCTAAACCCTAATTTCGGAAACCGCTTTTGGGCGACACAAGAAGATCCGTGTCCAGAGGTGATGCACGCGTGGCGTACGAGCACGGAGAACCCTGGAATTCCCTGGGCAAGCTGGCGAGAGCTGCCTGGATTTGCATATGTGGGTGGGCGGTCAAAGTTATGATCCTTTTGGGGTACCCTTAAATGTTGGTTGCCGTATTATTGATAGGGATCCCAAAAAAGGGACCAGAATTTTGACAACCACCCATGTGACCCTTGGATCCCCACTCTTCCCACTTGTGGGAGCCTCGCCCAGGTTGTGAAGATCCGGTGGCTGATGGCAGCCTGGTCGGGCATGCTCCTCAGCAACTCTGAGGAAGCTTTGCAGTGGCAAAGCGGAAAAACCCTAAACCCTAAACTCTAAACCCTAAACCCTAAACCCTAAACCCTAAACCCTAAACCCTAAACCCTCAACCCTAAATCCTAAACCCTAAAGTCCCCTGGTGCGGCCCACGGGTGCTTGGGCCCATAGCTACCAAAGCTGCGCACCCCCAGGCGCACTCCCGGGTGCCCAGCTGCCTCGCTGCTGTGCAGAGGACTCTCCATGTCATGCTCGGAGGGTTTAGGGTTTAGGGTTTAGGGTTTAGGGTTTAGGGTTTAGGGTTTAGGGTTTAGGGGGCTCGCTGTTCTCTTCGTAGTAGAGTAAGAAACCTTTAACCTTTTTACGGTACTCTAGTCCCTGTATGATCCCAAAAGTTGACCTTTGGTTTTGCCAGGATACTGGACAACTAAGTTTTTCTGTGGGTTCTGCTGAGCATTCCTTTTCGGTGCTATTTCGCTTTCGATAGGCCCATGCAAAGGCCGGGTATCCATTTGCGCGACTTAATGGCCACTGGGTCTTGTGACTGTCGGCGCTGAGCTGTCAGATATCATTGGTATCAGGTTTTCGAGCAGGAGGTGCGCGTTCCGGTTGCAGGCCTCAGATACTGCAACATACAATGAGTATATGGCTGTGCGTATTCATATACAAGACAAACGGCCACTGCGTCCCAAGACTCAGCCCTCCCTAAACCCTAAACCCTAAACCCTAAACCCTAAACCCTAAACCCTAAACCCCAAACCCTAAACCCTAAACCCCAAACCCCAAACCCCAAACCCCAAACCCCCAAACCCCAAACCCCAAACCCCAAACCCCAACCCCCAAACCCCAAACCCCAAACCCCAAACCCCAAACCCCAAACCCCAAACCCCAAACCCCAAACCCTAAACCCTAAACCCTAAACCCTAAACCCTACACCCTAAACCCTATCCTAAAGCGACGCAGTCCAGCGCGCTCCAGGAGTTGGTGGAGGACTACGATGCCCTGACTGCCAGCCTGGTCCGCAGCGGCTGGCTGCCCTTCGCGCAGCCGTTGCCCCCCTTGGGCTGATGCCAAAATCGTGGCCTTCGCGGACCTTCTATGTACATAGCGCAGCTCGCTCGTCTCACCTGCGCAGCACACTCGGTTGCTGCGGCGGGAAACGGAGATGGTTGCTGGTGGGTGCGATGCTTGCAGAGAGCTTGAAGGAACCCTTCTGGTGCATGAGAGCGGTAGAGCTTGATTCTGCAGTCCCTTCTGCCCTTCAAGCCGGTGCTACTGCCAGTGGCGGACCACTCAGCTCTTTTCACAGCCCCCCTGTAGTTGTTGAGGGTTGGGCCTTAAACAGATGTCAGAGTGTAGACTCCTCAAAAGCATGTTGAAGCCCTGCGCACTCTTTGGCAAAGGTCTTCAGATATGCTCGTGGCATGTCTGTGGAGCACTGGATGTATTCAGACAGATATGGTCGGGATGAGGCCGAACGAGTTGATGAACCTGGTGGTGTGCAGTGTTGTTCAATATTGTTAACATGATTTTGAATATACGTGTTCATGCAGATGTTAATAGGATTCTTCTTATAAATGTTCATATGGTTGTGAATATCAACATTGATATGAGTGTTCATACAAACATGTGCATGACTGTTTGTCGTGAGTATCATTGCTGGTATGATGCTTAAGATTGCCGCTGCTGGCAGGATGGTGCGGGTGGTGGCAAAGGCCTCACTAACTTCATGGACAGCACGTTCCCAGAGGCCAGGCTCACATGCAAGCTGCACCTTGCGTTCGACTTTTCAAGCACCACGACCGGCTTTGCCAGTTCCAGCGCCATGAATCGGCGGCAGATCTGAAGCAGTGGTTTGCCTCAGATGCGCCGAGCCCTTGGCAGCTTGAGACGGCAAAGCCTCAAAACCCCCAACCCAATCTTTCCCCAGCCATTGATTCTCACATTAAGAATCTCATTACATCCTTATGTTGCTTATATTAGTATATTCTGATTATTATGATTACATTAGTATACTACTTAGTGCTGTACTAGATTACAACAAGATGCAGCTTGAAGGCCTCGGATCCTGGTGGTCGGCCCCTCATCCAGCAGCCGGGCCGCCAAGGCCGTGGACTTCATGCCGGCGCCCAGCTAAGTGGGCTTTGCCAGAGGTGTTACGATGCGATTTCGTTTGTTGTGATGTTATATCAGTCATATTGGTATTATATTTATAATGCTAACATGAAATTGTATATTCTTATGTTCTTCTGTGTACAAGAAATGGTATATTCTTATCTTCTTCTGTGTTTATATTGTTGCTGTCTTTGTATGTTTATTGTACTGTACACTGTTGTCTTGCCTTATTGATATAATGGTGTGTTTTTATATTTGATATCCTTTACAAGTATATTTCTACACTATGACATGATTGCATACTTGTAAGTTGTATGATTACAATGTGTGTTTTTATATTCTTATAGTCTTACACTCTTATGGCATTAGACTAATATTGTTATATTCCCATTCTCTCCCTAATAATTTACCAGTATATCAGTATATAAATATAATAACTATATTCTTATATTCTTATTTTCTTATATTCTTATTTTCTTATATTCTTACACTATAACATTGTTATGTTGTTAAACCATTATGCTATGGCAAGTGTTGACATTGCAGGCTTGAGGATGTCTTGGTCCGATTCTGAACCCTAAACCCTAAACCCCAAACCCCAAACCCTGAACCCTAAACGTTAAACCCTAAACCCTAAACCGCAAGACGAGGTGCTGCGGTTGGCGCACGTCTGGGAGGAGTTCTTTAGCTTCGCATCCGCCGATGCCAAACTCGTTGCCGAGGCAAGGCCTCGCTGCCACACCGCCTCAAAATTTAGGGTTTAGGGTTTAGGGTTTAGGGTTTAGGGTTTAGGCTCACGCACAAACGTATTCGGTAGATCCAGAGTAGCTCCGAAGCCCAAGCGCTATCATGTGGGACGTTCCCCCTAAAACTAGCAGTCCTAAACAGGGAAGATCGTACCCACTACTATCATCCTTACTAAGGGCTATCAGTAGAAGGGGGGAAGATCCCAACCCTGAACCCGAAACCCTGACCCCTAAACCCTAAACCCTAAACCCTAAACCCTAAACCCTAAACCCTAAACCCTAAACCCTAAACCCCAAACCCTTGAAGTTCTCTGAAACCCGAAGCCGGCGCAGCCAAGCCAGACCCTGGGCTCCGAGTACGCGCTTGAGCGGGGCTCGGGTCCCAGGACCGCAGCCAAGAATACTGCAATTTAGGGTTTAGGGTTTAGGGTTTAGGGTTTAGGGTTTTAGGGTTTCAGGGTTTCGGGTGCAAAGGAGGGCAGTTCCCGCATTTTGTGCCATTGCGGCTCATGGAGTGGAGGGTCGGCTTCGATTCACGATGTCTCGGTGTTTCGAGCCGCTTCGGCTCGTGGGAAACTGGGAGCTTTGTGGCGTCTCGAGGTCAGACGTGGGCCTTGTTGCTGCGGAGTGGAGGCACGTTGCAGCCCCCAAAGCCAGGGGAGGCTTATTGAGAAGACTTGCTGGCTATGCAACGCCTGTTGCGTCGCCTTGGATGCCCTGTTCCTCTGCTTCTGGTAGTGCCTGAGGCGACGTCAGCAGGACCCAGGTCCGAAATGTGAGGGACATGGCGCCCCTCATCCAGGATCCCAGCACAGGGAATCTGCACCAAGTAAATGGGGAGTATGCGATCCTTATGATCGAAACTTGTGATGGGGCCAGTGACCCCCATGTCTCTCGGATAGCGCTTGTTCCTGTGTCCCGCAGCTTGAAGGCAGCATGGGGAGACCCTTAGGGTTTAGGTTTAGGGTTTAGGGTTTAGGGTTTAGGGTTTAGGGTTTAGGGTTTAGGGTTTAGGGTTTAGGGTTTAGGGTTTAGCTCACCAAGGTTGCGTGTCTCTTTGTCATATGTGTCTCTTTATCATATGTTTACAATCATCTTATCAATATCGTATCCCATTGTTCGACTGGTAGATTTGATTATCTTAGTCTTTCTCTCGCATCGTACTTGCTACCGGTACGTTCTTCATTCTGAAGACCCCTGGCTTCTGCACGCCCCAATTGAACTTGCGAGAGTAAGCAACACAGCTTCAAGCGTATTACGGGAACATAATCATACACCGGTTCAAAATGTTTTCGCCACAGAAAGTTCTAAGACTATAAAGTTTCAACAGTTTATACTGCTTTTCCCCAACCAAATGTCGAAGCGCGGAGAGGACTTTATCTCCGAGCACATCCCGCGACAAGCGCCGATTGGGACAGAGCGCTCGGGTTCCCAAGTTCTGCCAGTGGTCTGCAGCACGCGAGCCCTCGGTAAGGAGAAGGGGCTTTCTGTTTGGGGTTCAGGGTTTAGGGTTTAGGGAAGGAGAACGAGAGAGAAATAGGCTTTTTGCAGTGGTAGTGCTGTGATATTGGCAGTGGCGGTGTCGATATCTGTGGTGTCCTTGGACCTCCCGCGTCGTTCTTGTCAGAAGATCTGCGGAGCCTGAAGGCTTGATAAATCGACGCTTTAAGGCACGGTGACTTGCTCACTGAAGGGTGCTGACGCGCTATGAAGGAGCTAGCTCAGTGCGCAAAACAGGGGCGTTAAGGCAGGCTGGTCAGCGCAACATCAAGTTGCCTCGATACAGTCCTTGGGGGGTCCCTCTAGGCCCTTAGTGGTCTTGCTTTCCGGCAACAGCTTGGCATTCTAGTGCAGATAGACGGACGGATAGACCGAGACACAGAGCGAGAGGCAAAGAGAAAGGACAGACACAGACACAGAGTGAGAGGCACAGAGAGGAGGAGAAGAAGAAGAAGAAGAAAAAAGAAGAAGAACAATAACAAGAATAAGAAGAAGAAGAAGAAGAATAGCAAGAAGAAGAAGAATAAGAAGAAGAAGAAGAATAAGAAGAATAAGAAGAATAAGAAGAAGAAGAATAATAACAAGAAGAAGAATAAGACTAATAAGGAAAATCATAATAAGAAGAAGACGGAGACACACAGAGACGCACACAGGGAGGCAGACAGAGACACAGACAGAGACACACAGAAACACTGAAGAGAAGAAGTTGTGGGAATTTGGCGTGGAGCATAACCGGTCGGTTGGTTCGCAGTGGCGGGCGGTCAAGCAGGGGATGCAGGAGGTAACAGCGGGATGTGGTAGAGTGTAGGAGGCAAGCGGTGCGAGCCCAGGCAACTTTCAGCAGTTGTGCGGAGACAGAGCGCTGAGTCAGGGGACGAGCAGGACGTGACCTGCGAACCCTGCGAAGCGTTTTTCAGTGCTGGGCTGGTGCCACGGTTGAATCCTAAACCCAAAGAATCCTAAGCCCTAAACCCGCAACCCCAAACCCTAAACCTTAAACCCGAAACCCTAAACCCTGAATGACAGCAAGATGCGACAAAGGGCTCGGAAGTGCAGCTTCAGGTTGGGGCTTGGAGTCTGATTGTACATGGGTTTAGGGTTTAGGGTTTAGGGTTTAGGGTTCCCAGGGTTCCTTGGGCAGAGGTACTGCTTGCTCCTGGTGGACAGGAATGCAGATCAGACTGCCTCTTAGCAGCAACATGGGGCTGACTATGGCAAGTACGGTCCTTGAAGTCAGAAAGGAGGGGAGAGGCAGGCAAGATGTCAAGACATGTAAGTGGCAACCGGGTCACGGCAAAATCGCATGCGTCCTCTTGGTGTTGGTGGGAATTAGAGCTCACGCTACTTGCAATATGTGGCCGCAGGGTGGGCTGAGAGCAACGCCTCCTGGCGGTAGATCCCGGTCACCGGCAGTGCCACTGACAAAGATCGTATTCTCTTACTAGCCCTAAACCCTAAACCCTAAACCCCAAACCCTAAACACAAGCCATCAAAAAGGGCGCCCTGCTAGATGTCCCTCTTCTGTGCTTTTGCGCAGAACCCTCGGATGCCTGCGGCACCGAGGCGAAAGCTCTTCGGGAACTTGAATCCTCGTTTGGCTCCTACTCTTCGCTTCCTCACTGTCAGGGTCTAGGGTTTAGGGTCTAGGGTTTAGGGTTTAGGGTTTAGGGTTTAGGGTTTAGGGTTTAGGGTTTAGGGTTTAGGGCTTTAGGATGACAAGGCCTTCCCGGGTCTTGGCAGACTGCACAGGGCACGACTTGTCCTTGCAAGCTGACCCCTCCTTTGAAGCAAGCTGCTGGACCTTAAGGCAGAAGGCCTACTACCAGGAGGCCTTGCCAAACGCAACTGCGTCCCAGAGTTGACATCAGGGGTTTAGGGTTTAGGGTTTAGGGTTTAGGGGCCATGTGGGGCCAGGTTCAAGAGATCCGAAATGCTGGGGAGGATGCCGAGGACCTCTCCGATGAGCGCCCCGAACTCGCGAGAAGCAGAACTCATCAGTTCATGTGGGTGGTTGTCAAAATGATGGTCCCTTTTTGGATCCCCATTCTAATACGGCACCCTAAACCCTAAACCCTAAACCCTAAACTCTAAAGCCTAAACCCTAAACCCTAAATCCTAAACCCTAATATTTAGGGTACCCCAAAAGGGATCCTAACTTTGACAGCCACCCATGTGCAGGAGCCATTCCGGATCCAACCAGTCCGCGTTGCCTCGAGCGGCTCCCGTGCTCCTCTCAGATAGGGGAGTTTAGGGTTTAGGGTTTAGGGTTTAGGGTTTGGGGTTTAGGGTTTAGGGTTGTGGTCGCTGATCGAGACTGGCATATGGAGGTTAGAAAGGCCCCATTTTCGTGCGTCGCTCACTCGCAATGTTTTGAATCTATTTCTGTGCAGTCCTCCGTGTTCTACCCCCCTGCCTCGGTTCCTTTTTGCATGTTCCGTTTCTCATCCTGTTCCTCCTGCGAGCGTTTTGTATTTGCCTTGCACCATGTTACACCATGCTACGCCTTGCCTTGCGACACCATGCTGCAGGAGATGTTCCAACCTCAAAGCCTCGCCTCCAACCCCGCCTAAACCCCAAACCCTAAACCCTAAACCCTAAACCCTAAACCCCAAACCCTAAACCCTAAAACCCAAACCCTAAACCCTAAACCCTAAACCCCAAACCCTGAACCCTAAACCCCTGCGCAAGGCTTTCCCTGGAGTCCCGCCGGGCCTGGGCCCAGTTTCCCCGCCGTTTGGGCGGAGGCCTCGCAGGCCTGGTCTCCGCAGCCTTCAGGCTAATAACACATTAGGGTTTAGGGTTTAGGGTTTAGGGTTTGGGGGTTTAGGGTTTAGGGTTTAGGGTTTAGGGTTTAGGGTTTAGGGCTATTCTTCTCGGTAGGCTCTTGGGATCTTTATGTTTTCCCTCAGTGGGTTTAAGAGGATCATATTTAGGAATCTCTTTTCCGAGGGTTTTAAGGGCCATCCTTGTAAAGCTCCCCACGCAGCCACGTGGAGTTAGACTCCCTCAACTAGGGCCCGTTAATATTAAAGAAGCTCTAAGCCTCAACGAGACTACGCCCATTGATCAAACCATCCTAAAGGTCCCCTAAACCCTATACCCTATACCCTAAACCCAACACCCTTTACCCTAAACCCTAAACCCGAAGCCCTAAACCCTCAACCCTAAACCCTGAATCCTAAACCCCAGACCAGGCGTGGGCCGTTGTCCTTGACATGGAAACGCGGAAGTTCGCTGCCGTGAAGACGCCCAGCCTGCTGGAGCCTCAGCCTGGCAGCACCCCTCCCCCCCCCTCGCCTTCCAAGCCCCTAATAGGGTTTAGGGTTGGTTTAGGGTTTAGGGTTTAGGGTTTAGGGTTTAGGGTTTAGGGTTTAGGGTTTAGGGTTTAGGGTTTAGGGTTTAGGGTTTAGGGTTTAGGGTTTACCCCTGAACGCCCAGAAGAAGGAATAGGGTTTAAGGGTTTAAGGGTGTAGGGGTTTCAGGGTTTAAGGGTTTGAGGGCTTAAGGGTTGAAGGAGTTAAACGGTCTAAGGGTTTAAGGGTTTAGGGGTTTAGGGTGGCTTGCGTTGACCTGTCTGTGGATGTGGCGACCTCATGGCATGTGGCGTGTAGACTGACTCATAAGCTTCGTGCGCGCTGATCTGGCAGGAATGAGCTTTTTCAGAGCATCGCCTACGAGGCTGGGCTCGGGAAATTTCGAGGAAGCACCTTTCGAGGAAGCACCGACCGAAGTATCAGGTATCAATACTGCTTTCTTGGTGTTTGTGCTGTGGCTTGTGAAGTGAACTTGTAGACTTGTAGCGTGTGCGCTCGTCACCAGGACTTGAAGCTGTCAGAGCTCAACGAGGATGGGTCTCACCCCAAGGTGTTCGTTGCCTGCGTTTTGCTCTTTGCGCACACGCAATCTCGCCTTCTCGTGCGGAGCGCTGTCGTCGCCAGTGCCCTTTTGGCGCACCACTAAGGCCTCCTCTTTCGCGGCTGTTCTCCGACCCGGAGACCACACTGCGCCAACGACCTAGGGTGACTCTAGTGGGGATTTACGAACATAGGGGACCCATAAAAGTAGACCCCAAAATAGTAGGATCCCCTTGTAATAAGGATCCCAATAAGGCCCCCCTAATGTCGGAAACTAAACCCTGACCCTAAACCCTAAACCCTAAACCCTAAACCCTAAACCCTAACCCCTAGACCCTAAACCCTAATTTCGGAAACCCCCTAGTGAGTTTGCTTCATCTTGAGCTTCTCCAGGTCTGTCAGTAGCTTCAATCTTGCGCACAGCTCGCACTTTTGGGTTCCTGCAATGCATCCGCATCATCCCGAAACCCTAAACCCTAACCCTAAACCCTAAACCCTAAACCCTAAACCCTAAACCCTAAACCCTAAACCCTAAACCCTAAACCCTAAACCCTAAACCCTAAACCCTAAACCCTAAACCCTAAACCCTAAACCCTAAACCCCAAACCCCAAACCCTAAACCCTAAACCCTAAACCCTAAGCCCTAACCCCTAAACCCTAAACCCTAGACCCTAAACCCTAAACCCTAAACCTGGCAGTCTGAGGTCGTGAAGTTAGTGCCATCCTCTCGACCAGTCGGGGGCTGATCCTAACAACACAGGGAAGTGCAGTGTTTTGGGGTTTTGCGTTTAGGGTTTAGGGTTTAGGGTTTAGGGTTAGGGTACTCGGAAGAGGGCTCGGAAGAGACTTGAGGGGCTGCTCCGACCGCTCTTCATTTTAGGCTTTCCTTCACGTGTATGAGGTCCGCTTTGGTGGTCCTTTTTTCGAAGGGATCCCCGTTGCAGAAAGTACACTTTGGAGCAACCCCCACTTGTTCATCAGGGTTTCGGCTGAATTCCTTGAAGCTGTTGAGTCATGGGCCAGTCATTTACCAGGGACCTGACATCCATGGGAACTTGAGGGGGAGCTGGGGTCCGAAAGCGAGCAGCGTGCATCTAGCCGCATGATCTTACCATGAAGGTCCATGGAGCCATGTGAAGCCTAGTCAGTATTTTGAAGCGCTGTTGCTCAACCTTCTGATTGCAGCGGTGCGACAAGGCCCTCCAAGTCTGCAGACCAAGGGCAGAAGCACCAAACAAAACAAAACAAAGCCACAGCAAGGCATGAGACGGACTTCTGCCACCTGCCACTCCCTGGAAATCGGCTCACCAAGCAACTCCCATTTGAGAGGCCTTGGTGCATGCGTCGCATACTTGCTGGTGGCCATCGTCGTTTCGATTTCTCCAGCTGGGGCCTGAGACTTCTGCTTTAGGAACATCAGGCCTCAAGGGCCTCATGTGGTTTCGTTTCGTTCATTCCGAGTTCATGGCAATTCCGTAAGCCTGCCCGAGCTACTGCCGTTTTTGGAATGGTTTGAGAGATGCAAAGCCTCCGATGCCTGAGCCAGAAGGCTTTGCAGCCAGCAGCATGCTGCCTCTTTGCAGGAAGCCTTCTCCCCTGGCTGGGACCCGACAAGAAAGCTGCCTGCAGCGAGCAGCAAGGCTGTTCGCGCCTGGCTGGCTGGCTGCGCGAGAAGGGTGGGCGCTGGGAAGACCGTCTCCACATCGAGCAGATTTCCGGTCGAGGCCATGGCGTTGTTGCCTCAGGCACCATTCCTGCCGGGCAAACTTTGGTTGAGATTCCCTGGGCGTTGATCTTGAGCAGCAAGCTGGCCAGAGAGGACTCTGATGTGAAAAGTATGCTTCGCGACTTGGCATGGACAGACGATTGCAGCGACAGTTCGGCCATTCGGCTCTGGCTCCTGCGGCATGCGGAGGATGCCCAGTCGCCGTGGCGGACTTGGCTCAGCCAGCTGCCACAAGACGCCGGTGCCGGTGCAAGCTGCCTGCCGATCGTCCTGGCGCAGGCGGGCTGCAACGCCTTGCGCGGGACTCCCCTGCAAAGGAGGGCGGACCTCCTCTTGCAGAGTGTGAGAGAAGAGTGGGCTGCACTGGAGCCACTTAGAGCAAGGCATCCCTGGCTTGCGTCCTACCAGCGGTGGCTCTGGTGCCAAGCGATCGTTTCGACAAGATCTGGCACGCTGCCCATGGAAGGCACCGAGAAGGCGGTGCATTGCATCATTCCCGTGCTTGACTTCTTGAATCACAGTGCAGAGCCGAATGCCTGCATCGTCGGAAACCCTACATGTGCGAAGCTCGTTTCGACGGAAGTCATCAAAGCTGGCCAGGAGGTGCTGATTTCTTACGGCGGACACAGCGCTGAGCAGTTTCTCTTCGCGTTTGGCTTCTTGCCTGAGGGGTCGGTCGCAGATGTCGCCGTGCCGCTGGCTTTGACGGAGGCATCGGCCAGGAAGCGCTCGGAGCTGCTCGGCGCCGGACAAGTGCCGTGCCTCCGCGACGAGAACGCGCTGGAGAAGCTGCTGGGAGTGCTGGCCGAGGAGCCAGAGTTTCAGGGCTGCTCACGATGGAGGCTGCTTGAGTACCTGCTGGCTCTCTTTAAGGCTTGGCACCGTGAGCTTGCGCCGCCCCTCTTTACGTTCTGGAGGTATCCAGAAGCAGAGAGCCTTCGATGCTGCTACGCGGCAGCCGTAATGAGGAACCTCCAGGCCGTGCAAGCTGAGCTCTCGAGTCAGCCAGCTAGTGGGAAGGAGGGCCTCTCATGAAGCATTGTGAAACTGAGTTTACGAAAGTAAGGGGCCCCTAATATTGTCCCCCCCCCCAAGTAGTAGGATTCTCTTATAGCAAGGACCCCAAAAGCGTACCCACAATTTCGGAAACCCTTGATGGTGCAGGCACCAGTGTAGGCACCTGTCGAAGAGCTGTGGCGTCGTTGAAATGTCGTTGAGGTATGCTGCTCGTACGGTATTGATGCAGCATTGAAAGAAGCATCAACGAATTCGAGATGTCATGCTGGGCTTAGCACACATGCGTGACAGATGTTAATGGTTTTTGGTTCCACCATTCGTCATGGTCTCGCAATAGGTCACATTTGTCCGAGCAAAGGATCGTTGTACTCGATCTGCAGCAGCCCCGAGTCTGTCTGTACCTTCCCAACAAACCGAACCTGGAGATCCACAGGACTAACCCTCATAGTGCGGTTGCAGTCGCGTGACAACCCGACATCCGAAACCGCACGCCCGAAAGCTGCGAGCGCCCATCCGGAACTCTTGTGCACCACGCGTGTGGTGTTGCATTCCCCCCCTCCCCACCCATATTGCATGCCCAACAAGGTGTGTATATTGAAGGTCAAGGCCCCCGTACATCCCACCAAGCATTGTCCTTTGAGTCGCCACCTTTTGTAGTCCCTATATATGTACCTAATAGCCCCTAAATAACCCCTAAATAACCCCTCAGGTCACCCCCAAATAACCCCTAAATACCTAAGGTCACCCCGAAGGTCCCTTATAAGGGTCCCTCCTTAAGTCCCTTGAGACCCTAAACCCTATAAACCCTAAACCCTAAACCCTGAACCCTTATCCCTAAACCCTAAACCCTAAACCCTAAACCCTAAACCCCAAACCCTAAACCCTAAACCCTAAACCCTAACCCTAGCAGCTCCCGGATGTTCCAGCTCAGGAGCTCGAGCTGCCTGCGCTGGCAGCAGGGTTGTCGGCCCTAGTCAGAGCCCTGGGCCCCCTATATGGCGGTTTAGGGTCTGGGGTTTAGGGTTTAGGGTTTAGGGTTTAGGGTCGGGGGTTTGCTCGAAAAAGTTTCTTATAACTCTGATTACATTCTGTGTTTTCTTATCTGGGGTTTCCCAAATTAGGGGTTTCATATTGGGATCTTCTTTATAAGGGGATCCTACTATTTGGGAGTCCATGTTAGGGGTCCCTCATTGTCGTAAACCTCCAGTAACTGCTGCGGGGGGGATACCTTGCGGACCTGCCAGAGGTTCCCAAAGTTCAACCTTAAACCCTAAACCCTAAACCCTAAACCCTAAACCCTAAACCCTAAACCCCTAAACCCTAAACCCTAAACCCAAGAACTCCTGCAACTGGGAATCGGACCTCATGTGCCGAGGCAGTGGTTGCCATTCTGGCATCTCCAACGCTGACGCGGAAGTGCATTGGCAGCTCGGCTCAATCAGTGGTCTCGTCAAGGCTGGTCTCACGTGCATGTTGTTCTAACCGGCCCAGGCATGACCCTAAACCCTAAACCCTAAACCCTAAACCCTAAACCCTAAACCCTAAACCCTAAACCCTAAACCCTAAACCCTAAACCCTAACCCTAAACCCTAAACCCTAAACCCTAAACCCTAAACCCTAAACCCTAAACCCTAAACCCTAGACCCTAGACCCTAGACCCTAAACCCTAAACCCTAAACCCTAAACCCTAAACTCACGTGCCAAGGCGTGTTTTGGTGTGCGATCAGCTCGCCATGGCCCCAGATGCCATGGACTGACTCTCTGGAGTCGATGTGTTAGGGTTTAGGGTTTAGGGTTTAGGGTTTAAGGTTAGGGTTTAGGGTTACAGTAATCCGGAGCATACGGAACCCGCAGCAGCGTGCACCTTCCCCACGGATTCCCCGACTTGGGCAAGACACGGCCAAGAAGCACACGCCTCCGCCGCTCTGTCGAAGTTGCCATGGAAGTGACGGAGCCCCAGAGGTCGCGCATGGAGTGCCAACGGAACTCCTAGCGGAGTCCTCCCGACGCACGCTCTGCACAAAGAGGCGGGGGATGATCCTTGCAGCCGAACAAACCTGGTCACTGTACACCTCTGATGTTCAGGGGACGGCCCCCGACGCCTGAGATAGCGACCTTTGACGACCTCAGGAGCAACCTCAGGCGGCCTGAAGAGCCCCTCCGTGTGGAGTGTTGCTCCGTTAGTGCATATTGTTAGTGCTCTTGCGTAGACCCCGAAATTGACGGAACGGAACCTAGCCTGCAGACTTCTGATGAGACTTTCCTTCTCCCCCGAGTATGTGGAAGCTGGAAGGTTCTGTTCTCTGTGCGGTCTTGATAGATTCACGTGAGTGCGCCCCCGAACCCATGCAAAACAAGCGATGCCCTTGCGAAGCAGCAGGGAGCACAAGCAGTGCAGAAGTTTTGCTTGCGTGGCCGCAAAGCAGTCAGGCCTATGAGATCGGTAGTTCCGCCTGTAAATGTGCCATCAAACCCTACAGACTAAACCAGGCTTCTTGAACTGTTTGCAGCTCATGTTTGCCCGGTGTCTCTGAAGTTTGGCTCGTATGTAAGCGAAAGCAACGCATGAGAGTGGCAAGCGACTCCAGGCAAAGTCAGTTGCCGCGTATTCGGAAGCCCCGGTGTAGTTCGATGACCCATCTGCCCTCAGAGAACCGGCTGGGGATTAGAGCCCAAAATAGCCCGTTAGCCGCGGCCTCTGTAGCCATTCCATCGCTGCGCCCGGGTGAGAGGCGACAGCGCCTGGCGAAGGAGGGAGAATGGATACCGGAAATGCGCATAATGCACATGCGGCGGTGGATGACTTTCAATATTCCCCTGGCCTTTGCCAGGAAGCAGGCAGAAGTTTTGATCCCGCTTCACCTGCCCTGGGCTTGGCACCATGGGCCGAAAGCGTGGAGGGGACTCTTGGGATTATGAAATGAGTATGCTGTTGCCTTGACATGATTACATGACTAAATTGCTATGTTGTTGTATTCTTCTTTTCATGTCTGTTTTTGAAAGACCTGGAAGTCATGTGAAGTCGTTCTCAAGCCTGCGAGACTGCTCAGGAAGGAGGGGGTGGCGGAGAGGCGGATTCAATCCCCAGCTTGCCGGCAGGAGCTTTCACACTTTCAACTCTGCTCATGGCATCTTATGGCCTTGGTGACATAGTGTAGCAGTGAGCTGTGCTTGACTTGTGGAAGGAGCTCTGGATCCAGCTGCGCTAGGGTTTCCTTTGCCGCCCGGAGGGCCCACAGCGCCCCCGGCTCCGCAGACAGTGCCCGGGCTTGGTCCGGGCGGCCCTCCACCGACCCCCACAGCCTTGGCAACCCCTGGTGGGCCCCCAGCGCCGCCAGCGCCCCCCAACTTCCAAGGCTTTCCTGGCCTGCCCGGCGGACCACCAGGAGGACCCCCCGGCCCAGGCCTCCCCAACAACCTTCTACCCCCAGGCCTCGCAGGCCTCGCGATGCCAAAAGGTCTTGGCTTTCCAGGGGCACCAGGCCTCGCAGGCCTCCCGCCAGGGCTACAACTCCCTCCAGGCGCGAAGAGGGTGCACTCGATGGTGCGCTGTGGTGCATTGCACGAAGTCTGTATCGTCACTCTCTCTCTCTCTCTCTTTTTGGTGTGTGTGTGTGTGCACATGCTTGAGACTGGTTGGTTGCCTGTTGTGCCAAAAGTTGTTCACGAGAATCCCAAACTGGAATTCTGAAGCTTCTGGAGGAGTGCCGACTCCGCCCAAGGCCCCTGGCCTCCCGGGCTCTGCTCTTCCGCCGCCGCCACCGGGCATGGGTTTGGGAGGACTCCAGCTCCCACCTGGCATCGGCCCACCCCCAGCGCTGCCGAAGCTCCCCTTCCCCGGCATGCCCCCGCCCCCGAACTTGGACTCTGAGTCCCTGGCGCAGATGAGGCCCTGCGAGTTTCTTGTGGATGGGACAGGATGGGACCCTCATACCCCTAGCTGCCTCGCATTCCTGCCAACAATTGTGGGTCTCTCTCTCTCTCTCTACATATATACATATATACATATATACATATATACATATATACATATATATATATATATATTGTATACAATACATATTATACAATATAGAACAGTAAATATGAACATATATACATATAATTATATAATAATATATCTATCTATATATATATATATACATGTATATGCAAATTTCGCATATATATATATATGTATATATAGATATATGCAAATTTCGCAGGTTCCAGCAGGTGGCGTCCGAGTACGAGCAGATCAAAAGTGCGGGGATCGATCCGCAGGTTGCAGAGCTGGCGGAGTACCATGGGCTAGGCCCCGGCGGCACTCCGCGTACATCATGGTACCTCATTTTAACCCTAAACCCTAAACCCTAAACCCGAAACCCGAAACCCGAAATCCTAAACCCGAAACCCTAAACCCTAAACCCTGAACCCTAAACCCTGATCTTCCTCCGGTTAGGCCCGGTTAGGCGAGGTTAGACATGCTGTTTGCCTCACCAGATGATCGCGCAACGCGTGCCCTCGACGAAGAGATGAAGAAGCGAAAAGAGACGCAGCTGGGCTGCACATGCTAGCCCTAATCCCTAAACCCTAAACCCTATAAACCCTAAGCCCTAAGCCCTAAGCCCTAAACCCTAAACCCAAGCCCTAAACCCTAAACCCTAAACCCTAAACCCTAAACCCTAAACCCTAAACCCTAAACCCTAAACCCTAAACCCTAAACCCTAAACCCTAAACCCTAAACCCCGCCAGGGTCGGAGATCTTCGCGGAACTGAGGTTTGAGTCGGACCTGCAAGCTCTTTGGGTCGGCTTGGAAGGATCGAAGAATCCATCAGGAGCCTGAGGGTTTAGGGTTTAGGGTTTAGGGGCCAAAGAAGAGGCACAATAGAAGCACTTTAAAGAGAGCCCACCAGCTTTTATTTGTGCTTTCATGGCGTCTGGGAGAGGAATGCTGATGATGAAGTTGAAAGATATGCGCATGGGAACCTTCAAAGGCATGACGGCATTGAACAAGAAGGACCTGAGATGCGTTTCTCGCGAATGCATGCAGCTTTCATCGGAGTCGTCAGCTCAGCTCTAAGTGCCCCATGCTTGACCCGCGCCAGATCCAAGACTTCGCGAAGAGAAACCGTTTGGATGCACAAGCTGCTGTGAAGCTGGCGGAGGTGTCATGGGTCTCTGTATGTTCCAAACCCTAAACCCTAAACCCTAAACCCTCAACCCTAAACCCTAAACCCTGAAGCCAGAGCTAGTTCTCATTCGCGTCTGATGTTTGCCATTTGCTCCCATCACCCCATGCGCTGGTTTTTGGTTGTGCTCACTGTGTCCCAAGACCATCCTACCAGGGCCTTATAAATTGACGCGCAACTCAAGCGGCTCGTGTAGGTGATGGAAAATCGTGACGATGTGGACGGTGACCTCGCGAAGCTTGCCAAGCCACTCTGCGAGAACAAAGTTTACACTAACGAATAATGTACTCATGTACATATAATATAACATAACACACAATATCACATAATATAATATAATATAATACAATATAGTATAATAACAGAAGAACCGAACAACCAAAGGTTGGGTGTTGTGTCGATATCAGCTACAAGCCACAAGGCATCTCGAGCGCTCCAACAAGCCTTCTTCCCTCGTCATGATGATGCTCCGCGACCTTCGAGAGGGAAAGCCCGTCAAGGAACTTCTGGGAAAGCGTCCGGGAGAAGGGTTGGGCGAAGTTGCAGACCTACAGAGGTTATAGGTGAGGTGGCCCTTGGCGTAGGTAAGAGGTACGGGCAAAGCAATGCCAGGACCCTGAGTATGCAGCCGCCATTGGCAGCAAGGCGCTGCGGCTGACTTCCTGCATGCCTATTTCAGCTTTAGGGTTAAGGGTTTGGAGTTTAGGGTTTAGGGTTTAGTTTGTAGGGTTTGGGGTTGAGGGTGTGGCCTAGGAGGTCCTCCAAGGTAGTAGTTTCGGCTTTGTGTAGGATGCAGACTTGCCTTGCGAGCGGGCTTCCACCTAGAACATGAAAAGGCCCCGAGCAAGGGAATCGGGATATGCTGAGCGAGCCTAACCCCAAACGCAAACTCTTGAACTTTGCTTTCGGCTTGCGATGAAGCATTGGTCGCCGTGAGAGGGGTTCGTGATTACAGGATTTGCTGCTTAGGATGTCCTGCAAGGTGCACGAGCGTGAGCTCCGGCAGTCCATGAAGGACTGGTACCAAATTTCTGTCTTTCTGTCTTTCTGTCTTTATCTCTTTCTCTTTCTCTCTTTCTCTCTTTCTCTCTTTCTCTCTTTCTCTCTTTCTCTCTTTCTCTCTTTCTCTCTTTCTCTCTTTCTCTCTTTCTCTCTTTCTCTCTTTCTCTCTTTCTCTTTTTCTCTCTTTCTCTCTTTCTCTCTTTCTCTCTTTCTCTCTTTCTCTCTTTCTCTCTTTCTCTCTTTCTCTCTTTCTCTCTTTCTCTCTTTCTCTCTTTCTCTCTTTCTCTCTTTCTTTCTTTCTTTCTATCTCTCTCTGCCGCTTTTGTGCCCCAAATAGATAGATTCAATAGATTCCCCTTAAGGTGTTTCCGTCGGCGCGAATTTCAGGTGGGGGTGGGGGGAGAGGCGGGGTATTGTTATCACCACTCTTCTTACTATCATGACGATTAGTACTATTATGCTGTTGTTACTATTGCTATTGCTATTGCTATTGCTATTGCTATTGTTATTGTTATTGTTATTGTTACTGTTATTTTTTAAACTCGCGATTCGTACTACGTAGTTATTACCGTCATGACTAATTACTATTTGTATTGTTATTCTTAATCATTTTCTTGCTACAACAATTATTACTACTATGCTGTTACTACTATTCCTGTTGCCATTGCAGTTACTATTGCTTTCATTGCTATGGTTACTTGGATTATGCTTAGTAGCTATTCTTATCCTACACCCTAACCCTAAACCCTAAACCCGAAACCCTAAACCCTAAACCCTATACCCTAAACCCTAAACATGGCTATTCTCACTCATTCTTCTGACTACGACCTTTGGTTCTGGGCAGGAGCGAGATCGAAGTCGGAGCCGGCAGAGGGGTGGCCGGGATGAGGCGCGAGGTGGCCGTCACGACAGGCCCGAGGGCCTTATGCGAGTGGATAGGGTTTAGGGTTTAGGGTTTAGGGTTTAGGGTTTAGGGTTTAGGGTTTAGGGTCTAGGGTTTAGGGTTCAGTGTTCAGTGCTTCGTGTTTAGTGTTTAGGGTGGAGCCCATACTTTTTTTACAAAGTGCACAAGAAAGCGACGATCTGCATTTTGCGTGTCCCAATTGTTGGTTCCATGATGGCCGCAAGTAGTTCCGAGTCCATGCTGCGCTTGGTGTTTGGGAGCTTTGCAGCACCCCTCAGAGTCCATGTTGTGCCATGAAAGCTGCAAGCTGCACTGCACTCCATAAGAGAACTTGAGACATGCGCGCTGCAGACACATGATGTGCATGAGCGCCAAAGACGCCTTTGCCAGGGACAGACGCGACCGTGATCGCATCTCGCCAGCAGTTCTTGTTGCAGTTGCGTCCAGCAGTTAGTTTGACGATGCTTCCAAGACCCTTTTACAGTCCGCAATCTCAGACATGGTGGAAACGGGGCAGCGGACCAACATCCCTGTTTTGTGCCTGTTCTCTGGCGCCAGTGCAGGCGATCGAGACCGTGGTGGGGATCGTGGTGGGGACCGTGGTGGGGACCGTGGGGATCGTGATCGTGATCGAGACCGCGATCGCCGCGACCGTGGTGACGACAGACGCGAGCCTTGTCGCATTGATTGGGCTTTATGATCCTTTTGGGCTTCTGCTACCAAGGTGCGCGGCCTTCCATACTCGGGGCTTGCAATTTCGGAGATCTCGATTTCCGTAAGGGGTCACCAATGCGTGGACACCGCCCAAACGCGCTCGCCCTTGCCTGGCATAGCTCCCAGGCCGATAATTTTCTACATGATCTCAAGATTTGCTTCCCACTTTGCGGAACAGCAACTAAACCCTAAACCCTAAAACTGTAAACCCCAAACCCTGGCACAGTATACTTGGGGCCACCAAAGGCTATGATGGTCGCAATAGTACTAATAGGAATTTTGGAACAATTAGGAAATAGTAGTAATAGTGGAAACAATAGTAGTAAAACAGATTACTGCACAAAATCATTGTAATAATAACAAGCATAGAAATAGTGGAAATGATAGTAACAATAATAGTAATCATAATCTCAACACTAGTAGTAGTACCAACGGTAATACTAGTAATGATCGTAGTAATAGTACGAAGAGTGAAACCAGCAATAACAATGATAGCACAAAACGTAGTAACAGTAGCAATAGTAATATCAGCAACAGCAGTAATTCTAGCAATGCTAGGAATAATCGGAAAGAAGAAGAATCGTGATCATACTAGAGGTAGTAGGAATCGGAATATTTATAATAGTAGTGATCATCGTCATGATAGCAGTAGGGACTGTAGGAATATTGCATAAGAATACCTTGTCCTTCTCCCAGGATAGAGGCGGCGGCGGTGGCGGTGGCGGTGGCGGCGGTGCACCCGACCGGGGTGATCGGTGATGTGGAGCCTCGGCAGCCGGAGGATGGGAAACTATGGAAAAATCCATTCTTGTGACATGAGGGGTCTACGAAAATGGGGGGGTACCCTTTTTGGGGGTCCCTTTAAAGGGATTCTTTTCTGTTTGGGGTGTAAAAGGGCCATGAAGGGGTGAGATTTTGTGAGATGTATAAGCCCACCTGCAAGATTCGACCGGCAGTCGACCAAAGCTCGTCTTGTTTTGGTTCGTCACGAAGCAGCTGAGGAGCGGCATGAGTGGTGCTATGCTCTGAGGGCTACCACGATTCCGACCTTCAAGGTTTTTTTTTGTCCCCCTACAAGGCCCGCAGCTCTGGATCCTGACCAGTCTAAGACCTGAACGGAATGCATCGCAGTGCCTTGGCAATTGCATAGCATGAGCCAGTGGACCAGCAATCGAGGTAGCCTGGGCCCTCTGGAGTTGAAGAGCTCAGAAGAGCCAGCCAACGCCAACAGTAGCAGTGGGAAGCCGGGATAGCAGCATTCCCAGCCATTCCCCGCAATGAGAATAAGAACGATGTAGCCATTGTTCCTGGCAAGAACCGGAACATCATAATCCCTGAGGTTTGGAAAAGCAAGTGTGCTCCTGGTTGTTGTAAAACTGAAATTTGAGCGGCGCAAGTGATGTACAAAGCTCTGCTTCGTGCGGCTGAGCAGAGTCAGCTGAACTCCCGCAAGCCAGTCCAATCAGCCGTTCCAGCGCAGTTCTGCGAGCAGCAGCACGCACCACATTGGGTGTCAAGCCAGATGCTTTGTGGGAGATCATGCGAGCTTGGATATACGAGTTGGTATGAGAAGTAATGAGGCCGCGGTATGCACTACGCAAGCCATGATTCCATCCGGAAGGTGTGGAGTCTTATGCCATGCACATGCTTGGGAGCCAAAAAAGTGGTGCAAGGGTTTGGCGATGCAGGACTGTGCTCTCGTTTCAGCTGCTGTGGTGCATTTCACATCTGGAGAAGCGACTTCTCGCAGCCTATGCCAGAGCCCGGGTTCAACAGTTCAGTGTGAAATGCCTAGTGTTCGCATGCACTGTATGATACCAAAGTCACACAAAGACTGACTTCCTGCAACAGTTCGTCATGAACTGAATCAGCAACAGCGACTACGATGATCAGCAGAACAGCACAGGCAGATGGCAGTTCGAAAGATTGCGCACACCAACAATAGCTCATCATGCTGATTGCGAAGGGGCATTGTGAAAGTACTGCCGCCGCCTGCCTTGGATGGAGCTCTAGTGGCATCTGTCAAGAATTGTGATGCTTAGTGCCGGCCCGAGCTAGAGTGTGCGGCATTGATTGTAGCAGTTTCTTAGTTTAGCCTTACATGGCAGTGGGCTGTCTGCTCAAGCGGAGCTGTGCAAAAGCCTAAAGGGATGGGTCCGCTGTGCCATCTTCCCCTGCTCTTGACAGAAGGACAGCCGGACTTCACGCGGTTCGCTTGCAGCCATTCTTCGAGATAAAGTTCTTCACGTTCAAGACTTGGATCTGGACTCTTAGCAGCTTCGTCTGCGTTTAGATGCGGATTCGCAGCAGGGACCGCGGGGCCTTGAAAACATTCTTTGAGAAGCAAGAGACTCACCACACCAGACGATTCATCGAAGTCCTGTGTCATTCGAACCTAGTGTGGGCATTTAAATTTGGGGACCGCCCAAAACAGTATCCTCCTTCTAAAAGGCCTTCACCCCCCCGCCTCCAATCAGGGTACTTAGGTACTTCTCTATTCTGGAAAGCCACCATATACTCATCAAAGAGTCTTCTCTGAGACGCTCTGAGGCCAAAATGTCTGGAGCTGTCTTGGCAGAGATGCTGGAGAAGATGCGCGTGCGGCCGGAGCCATAGAACATCATCGAACGTCCGAATGACCTTGAGATGTCTGCACCTATCGAGGGTGGTTTTCTTGTGATCCTTTTTGCAACCATGGAGCTCTACTGCAACAGCAGCCATTCCGAATTTCGCACAACCCCCTGTCGCATGGCAGACCACCCTGCGTGTTGAGCAGGTCTTCAGGCTCAGGATTCTCGAATCCTTGTACCCTAAAGCCTAAAGCCTAAAGCCTAAAGCCTAAAGCCTAAAGCCTAAAGCCTAAAGCCTAAAGCCTAAAGCCTAAAGCCTAAAGCCTAAAGCCTAAAGCCTAAAGCCTAAAGCCTAAACCCTAAACCCTAAACCCTTGTCATGAGGAGTTGGGTGATTGTGCGAGTCTTCTGCACGTGCAGGGAAAGCGATGATGCTCGTACCGTGCTCAGCAAAAAATTGCGGGGCCCCCAGAACCGCAGAAACCGGAGGAGTGCTTCCGCGAGTGGCCAGTCACCCCATCATAGCATTGGTCACTTCTCTAAATTGTGGGCCCTTCTGTTTGGGTGCCCTAAACATTCGGGGCCTCCTTGTAGTAGCAACCCCCAACAAAATCATAATGTAGAGAAGTGGGCATATAATATTGCTGATTAAGTCCTGGGCTCAGGTCATATGTCCTACGTCATGGAGCCAAACAACTTGATCTTCCCATTACCGACGGAGGAGCACCAGGGCACGATTCATAAGTTGGCCTTGCCTTGTGTACAGTCAACGTGCAGCGTGTTCTTCTGGATCTACAAGTTATGCAAGTTCGTTAAAACCCAAACCAGAACAACGAGCAAAGCAAAACCAACGCCACAACAGATGTGCAGACACCACCCTTCGACGGACCCTCTAACTGATTTTGTCTGTAATCTTGTTTGTTTTGTTGTGCTGCTATTTTTTTGCTGCTTTTGGTTTTGGTGTGCCTTTTGGGTTTGAGGTTTTTGTGGGATCTTCTGTGGGCGCCAACGCTTCTCCGGGAAAGCAGGTCGCAGGTTCGTAGAGGAAAACATGACAGATACAAGAATAGAGGAATATAAGCATACTTAGGGTTTAGGGTTTAGGGTTTAGGGCTTAGGGTTTAGTAAGAATGTAAAAGTAGAACACCTCGCAGGCTTCGTGGCGCTGGCCGACCTACTGGCGATCGCGCCACTTTTCGGCGGCGTGAAGACGGAGGCACACGACTGCCATGACTGGCACTCTTCACTTTACTGACCTTATACAATAATCTAGCGAATTTTCTAGAATATGCTATTTTTCTCGCAATATACTAGTATAATAGAATGAAGAAGTACGAAAATGAAAAGTAAGAAAGTACGACAATAATCGCATGCAATACAATAAGAAAATCAGACAACACGATAATCAGAAAATGAGATAACGAGAGAAGAAGATAGTAAGACAACAAGATAGTCAGATAGTAAGATAGTAAGACAAAGAAGAAATATAAGTTGCCAAACAGGATAAGAAGTATAACAATGCAAACATGTAATCATATAACAATATACGGAAAATGTAACAATACAAGATAATCATACTAACAATTTAACAATACAGCAGTATCTTTTTCTTCTTTTTATAAAAATGCACTAACAGAACAATACAATGATATCAGCAAAATGCAATATCATAACATCATAATCATATGAAGTAGGGTTTATATTTCTTGTATCCCCAAAAGGACACCAGGTATATACAGTCACCAATACCTAAAAGGAACCTTATATATATATATATACACTCACCAAAAACAGAAATATATACCCTGCTTCATATAATAACATACTAACGTGCTAATATTTCCAATCCCTCCTCAATTTGGGGCTTGGGGCCGAAGTGGTCTGAAGCAGCGCAAATGCGCATTGCTACGCATTGCTTTTGTCATGAGCTGCGAGCATGCCTCGTGCTGCACATTGCTCATCCTCAGGAGGGGGTTTCCGAAAATAGTGACCCCCAAAATAGACCCCCCAAGTAGTAGGATTCCCTTATCATCAGGAAACCCCCCCCCCCCCCCTCATGCAGATTCCCTTATCATCAGGACCCCCCCCCCCATGCCCCATAAGGCACCCCTAAACCCTAAACCCTAAACCCTAAACCCTAAACCCTAAACCCTAAACCCTAAACCCTAAACCCTTTATGTCGTAAAATTTCAGGATGTGTTGGAGGTGGTGGAGGCCTCGAACTCCGAGAAGCAGCGGCCCCTCGTGCATGTTTGCTTGTTTTCGCAGCCCGCGTGTCGGGCCCGAATCCGAGAAACATCCGAACCCTAAACCCTAAGCCCTAAACCCTAAGCCCTAAACCCTAAGCCCTAAACCCTAAACCCTAAACCCTAAACCCTAAACCCTAAACCCTAAACCCTAAACCCTAAACTCTAAACCCTAAACCCTAAACCCAACATCCGAAGACCCTTTCGTGACAGGTACGAGTTGATGCAGCAAGATGAAAACTGGCTCATCAGGGCTACCACCAAGCACACCATGGAGGTCGCGAAGATTCGCAGGGTTTAGGGTTTAGGGTTTAGGGTTTAGGGTTTAGGGTTTAGGGTTTAGAGGGTTTAGGGTTTAGAGGGTTTAGGGTTTAGAGGGGAGGGTTGCAGGATTCAAGGAGCTGCCTCCCCCATCTTTGACTGCGTCATGCAAGGGCTTCACAGGTTGTTGCTTCTCGCTTTTGCTTTTTCTCCATGGCTTTTTGCTTCAATCCCCTAAACCCTAAACCCTAAACCCTAAACCCTAAACCCTAAACCCTAAACCCTAAACCCTAAACCCTAAACCCTAATTCTGGCAGAGTGTTGGAGGGCCCGTGGCTTGGTCAGGGCATTCAGGCGCCGACAGCGAAGCCGAAGAAGTCGCCAAAGCGAGCGAGCAAGGCGTGGATCGAGTTGTACTATTTAGTATAAAATATATCATACATAATATAGAGATATATCATACATAATATAAAGATACATCATACATAATACATAATATAGAAATATATAAGACATAATACATAAGACATAATACATAGTACATAGTATAGAATATTATATATATATTCATAATAGTAGGTGTTGAGATGGTTTGGGTTTTCAGGCAAAGCACAAGGCTGTGCTGTCAGTCGGTGACTTCGCAAGTGCACCCCCTAAACCCTAAACCCTAAACCCTGAACCC